TTCACCCTTTCCTTTGTTGGATAAAAGAAAAGTCGGTGGCGACTCTTGCTTACCGCGACATTTGGGAACAAAAAATGAAAACCAGTATAACAGTCGGTTCTGCCACCGTATCATAATAATGTTATTTATGTTTTGCAATTTAGTTTCTGCATAATTCATATCTTCTATAATTGTTGTATTAGGAACATGATGTCTTAACATTTGTCCTGACATTGTGTTTTGGTATTGTGACACGTGTCTTAACATCTAATTTGAGAGTGCCAAAATTTCAATTGGCATCAGAGCAGGCACACTGTTTTGTTTTTGGGTGAGCTCTAGGGAGAATAATTTTTGGTACTATGGACAAGGAAGGAGGATACAATAACATACCACATCTATTAGATGGTGCAAATTATGACTATTGGAAGGTTAGAATGGTAGCTTTTATGAAATCCATGGACATTAAATCTTGGAAGGATGTTTTGAAAGGATGGAATCATCCTGTTATGAACGACAAATATGGGAATGAGTCTTTGAAGCCAGAAGAAGATTGGTCTAAGGAAGAAGATGAATTAACTCATGGAAATTCCAAAGCTTTGAATGTTCTATTCAACAGAGTGCATAGAAATTTTTTCAGGTTAATAAATTATTGAACTCTAGCTAAAGATGCTTGGGTAATCCTCAATACAACCCATGAAGGCGCATCCAAGGTGAAGATATCCGGACTTCGACTTCTCACTACCAGATTTAAGAACCTAAAGATGAATTATGATGAAAGCATTCAAGAATTCCATATGAATGTTCTTGAAATAGAAAATGCATCTAGTGCCTTGGGAGAGAAGATGTCAGAAGAAAAGCTTGTTAGAATGATTCTCAGGTCTTTACCTAAGAAATTATATATGAAGGTAACAAATATTGAAGAAGCACATGACATCAGTAACATGAGGGTTGATGATCTTGTTGGGTCACTTCAAACTTTTAAACTGGCTATAAGTGACAAAGCTGAGAAGAAGAACAAAAAAATAGCTTTTATATCTAACTCTGAAGATAAAGAAGGTGAAGTTGATTTAGATACTGGGGAAGGGTTGCGAATACCATTATATTATTTAAGAAGTAATTCAATAGAATTCTAAAAATAACGGACATAAGAGGAAGACCAAATGTCAATAACATCTCATCTGACATCAGCAATAATGACTATTTTAAGAAAAATACCAGAACTAGAGAGAAGTCCAATCAAAGAAAAGGCATTTAATGTTTTGAATGTGAAGGATTTGGTCACATTAGGCCAAAATGTCCCACCTATATCAAGAAACAGAAAAAGGGACTTATGCATCATGGTCTGATGATGATGAGTCATAAGATGATCCTAACACTAAGACTGTCAAACTTGTGACTACTCTCTCTGAAAGATGGGCAAATAAAGTAGAATCTTGTGGTGAAAATGACCTCTATGAAGACCTGGATGTGTCCTACAAGAAAACTTATGACAGGTGTGAAGAAAGTCTTAAGATAGAAGAAAGTCAGAGAAAAATCATAACTGAATTGGAGAATAAGAAGAAGGAACTTCTATGTACTATTTCTCATCTACAAAATGAGGTAACCCTCTTAAATTCTCAACTTAATAACATGACAGTTTCTTTGAGAAGGATGAAAAATGGAGCTAATATGATGATAAAAGGGGTTGAAGATATAGGAATTAATTATTATATAATAATCAACAAAAGAAAAGATCTATAGAAAATTTCTTTCCTTATGAAAAGAAGAGAACGATCATCATGTCCATCCACATATTACAACATTCTGGCAGACATGATGTAACTTCAACTAAATTCCAATCCTCAACTTAGAAATGTCATTATTGTGGTGAGTATGGTCATATAAAGCCTTTTTGTTACAAATTGTATGGAGTTCAAAAACATTCATCTTATTCCAAGGATAATCAAGTAAGTGACAAAAAAGTTCTAAAGATACGAATGTTAACCTTATATCTTATACTTATTTGAGAGCTTCAACTAGAGAAGACTGGTACTTTGACAGTGGATTCTCTAGACATATGAAAAAGGTTCAGAATTTGTTGGTGGATATCAGGTCTCAATCCACAGGTTCTGTCAGATTTGGTGATGGATTCAAAGGTGAAATCAATGAAGTTGGAAATTTGTTGTGTGGTGGCTCTCCTAGTCTAGAGGATGTTCTTCTTGTGGAATGACTAAATGTTAATCTTATCAGCATTAGTCAGTTGTGTGACCAAGAGTTTTTAGTCAATTTCTCAAAGTTAGAATGTTTATTAAAATATGATAAAGATGTTGTTATGATGAAGGCTATAAGGTCTAAAGACAACTGTTATATGTGGGAACCTCAAATAACTGCTTACTCTTCCACATGTTTAATAACCAAAAAGGATGAAGTGAAGCTATGGCATCAGAAGCTTGAACACCTTTATCTCAAAAGAATGAAGTAAATCATATCTGAAGGAGCTATTAGAGGAATGCCAGAACTCAAGGTTGAAGAAAGGAAAGTATGTGGTGAGTGTGAGATTAGGAAGAAAACCAAGAGGTCACACCCAATGTTGTAACATCATACTTCTTCCAAAGTGCTGGAACTTCTTCCTATGGATTTAATGGGGCCAATGCAGATAGAAAGTTTGGGTGGAAAGAGGTGTGTCTATGTGGTTATAGATGATTTTTTCGGGTTTATATGGGTGAACTTTCTTAGAGAAAAATCAGACACCTTTAAAGTCTTCAAAGATCTGTGTCAAAGTATTCTAAAGGAGTAGAATAATGTGATTATCAAGGTTAGAAGTGACAATGACAAGGAGTTTGAGAATGCAAAATTCTATAAATTTTGTGCTTTTAAGGATATCAGTCATGGATATTATTTTTCCATCACATCTAAGCAAGATGGAATTGTTGAGCAAAAGACTAGGGTTATACAAGAATATGCTAGAATCATGCTTTATGCTAAGCAATTGTCGTTGAAGTTTTGGGCTGAAGCTATGAATACTGCATTCTATATTCATAATAGGGTCACTTTTAGGGAAGACACTTCAGCCACTCTTTATGAGTTATGGTTAGGAAGGAAGTCTACAGTCAAATACTTTCATATCTTTGGAAGTAAATGTTATGTCTTGACTGACAAAGATCAAAAGGGCAAGATGGATCCCACAAGTGATGAAGGAATATTTCTGGGTTACTCTTCAAACAACAGAGCTTATAGAGTTTTTAACTCCAGAACTAGAGTTACAATGGAATCCATAAGTGTGGTGATTGATGATTCAATCACTGAAAAAGAGATGGATATTGAAGACAATGTTGGAACATCTTCTGTGCAGATTGATAAGTCAGGAAAAGAAGTAATTTATGAGTTTACAAGCATTGAATCAGTTATTTCTCAAGTCAGCAAAGGTCTCTCTGAGAGAATTCAAATAGCATATTCCAAGGAACCCATTACAAGACACATTGAAGAAGTGGACACCACTGGAACCAATGAAGAAATATCAAATTCATGTTTTGTTTTTAAACTTGAATTCAATCTGAGCCCTATTATTCAAGAGAAGAAAATCTTGAAATGTATCATTAGTACAAGTTTTTATGGTGTGCTATATTCTGATAGCACAAATTTCATGCTGAAAGAATTTTGTAATGAAAATTACATAAAAGGAACTTTTGATGGATGTTTCTCTTTGAGAAACAGTCTGATTTCCCATTTCAATAAGAAGAAAATATGTGATTCTTGGTTTATAGTTGAAGCTGAATATGGTGGAACAAGAAATAGTTGCTCCCAACTAATATGGATGAAGCAGATGTTGAAGAATATAATGTCAAACAAGATGTCATGACATTACATTGTGAAGATCTGAGTGCTATCAAATATCTCTTTCAACATAGCTGGAACAAGAATTTTGACAACCATAATCACCTCACCAAGTTGTAGATCTTAAGTAGTTCACTATTCCTTGCATGTCTAGGCCGACTTGGAGTTGTTGGAGGCTTTGAAGCATGTCTTGTTCAAGGACATGTTGTCGTGGTGGAGGTTATTTAGAAGTTTTTCCTTCAAGAAGTTGTTGTGTAGATTGAAATATCGACGAAACTTGAAAAAATTTTGGCCGACACTGACTTGCAATATTTCCCAATCCAAAATTTTGTAAGGACCACACTGACTTGCAATATTATTCCATTGAATTTTACTATTCATTACATAATTTTCAATTCTTTGAAATAATTTTTTTTTCAATTTTTCTTTAGCCAACTCATTTCATTTTTGTTTTTTCATATGTCAAACGGTATGTATAAATGTCCAACAGTGACTAGAATATACTCCGTGACTTCGGTCATCTTTAAAGACAAAATCACCCTTTCAAACACAGTTATCTTCAATCCACAATACAAACAACACAAGGGTAAATCCGACTTTTCCTTTCATCCACAATTACACAAAACCACAAATATCAGTGACAACCCACACATATAAACCTTTGAATTTTATTTGTTAATTATAATAAGAAAATGACAAGAATATAGTGGATGTGTCCAAACTTAAGCTAAAAAGAATGCATGATGGTGATTTGCAGAGAATTAGGGTTTCATCATAACAACAATGAGTGGTTTATAATGAGCCTGTTAACAAAACAAAACAAATCCCTAAGATGTTGAAATTTGTGTTCAATCAATCATGTGACCGTAAAAAAATGAATTCAACATTTTCTTTTTAAAGTAATGTTTTTTTTTGTGTGTAATAAAAAACAAAACCCTAGTTAGGTTTCATTGTGTATACGTGTGTGTGTTAGAAAAGTTAGATTTGTGTATAGGGACAATGTCACAATGCACACGTTAAAGCTAATTTATAGGAAATATTCTACTTTACCTTATTTAATTCCAAAGAAAACTTTGGTGAAGAAAAAGACTATATTATTTATTTTAAAAAGAATATAAAGCTTTTAAACTTATTTACCTTTTTCTTTTCTTTTCTTTCCCTTCCTTATCTTATTTTTTTTCATTACCTTTTTTCATTCTTTTTCTCTCTTTCTCTTTCTTTACTACCCTACCCCCCACATTCACAAAAGAAACACCTCTCTCTCTCTCTCTCCTCTCTCTCTCTCACTCTCTCTCTATCTCTCTCAAGTGTCATTTTCTCACATATACTTCACACAAAAAAACACCATTCACTTCACATACCTTGTCATTTCTTCCTTATTTCTCTCTCCCTCTCTCTCTCCCTATCTCTCTCTAAAATTTTCTTTCAATCTTAAATCTCATCACCTCTGCAACTACTCCATCAACTTGATTGAATGCTTGAAACTCTATCACTCACACAAAATCACACACCTTCAGAATATCCAATCAATTATTAATTACACCCCCATCTTGCAGTCTCAAACCTAGCTAACCTTCCAACTGTCTCTATATATAATTTTTTTCCATCTCTTCCAAATATTTTCATACCATTATTATATTCCTCACAACTGAAGAAAAACAAGGCTTGATTTAATACAATTTCCAAGCCAAATCCATAAAACCACAAACAAAAAGTTTGGTTTTTTGGTGGAGGTGTAGATAGCAAAAAATGGAGCTATTTCCAGCTCAACCAGATTTATCTTTGCAAATTAGTCCTCCAAACACAAAACCAACATCAAGCAATTGGAAGAGAACAACAACTGAAGAAGAAATGGATTTGGGGTTTTGGAAAAGAGCTTTGGATTCAAGAAACTCTCTATCATCATCATCTTCATCAATGGCTACTACTACTACTTCTACTAAAACTCATGATAATTACACTTTTGACCTCTCTCTTTCAAATCCAACAAAGCCTTTAGATTCAAACAACACTCCTTCCAATAACCTCATTCATCATCATCACTTCCAAAATAATGGTAACAACAACAATAATGCAATTGCAAACCCTTTTCAATCTTTTCAACAAAACCATTACTTTCAACACCCCCAACCTTTCTTTCAACACCACCACCCCCAAAACCAAAGCTTAAGTCAAGAACTTGGTTTTCTTAGACCTATTAGAGGAATTCCTGTTTATCAAAACCCTCCTCCTTTGTCATTCCCTCAACTTCTTAATCATAACCATAATCTTAATCATAACCTTAATCATAACCTTAATCACCTCCATGTTCTTGATGGCTCTACAACTACTACTACACCTTCTTCTATTTCTAACATAAACACAAACTCAACCCCTTTTCAATCTCAAGCTTTGATGAGGTCAAGATTCTTGTCTAGATTTCCTGCAAAAAGAAGCATGAGAGCTCCAAGGATGCGTTGGACTACTACACTTCATGCTCGATTCGTTCATGCTGTTGAACTCTTAGGTGGCCATGAAAGTATGCTTCATCTTTAATTAATTTCCACTTAATTTCCCTTAATCCCCTCTTTATTCTAACTTAAACCCTTGTTTTAGTTTTTCTTAAACATGTTAATTCAACAAAACAAAGAAGAAAATTTATCCTTTTTTTAAATATTTTTTTTATGATATTAATTAATTTGATATTTCTCAACTATGGTGTATGATTGATTATAGGGGCAACTCCAAAATCAGTTCTTGAGCTAATGGATGTGAAGGATCTAACATTAGCACATGTTAAGTCACATTTACAGGTAATTGATTAATTAATCATTAATCTGTAATTATAATTATCCTAATTACATTTTTTCTTTATTATTAATTGTTAAATTCTTGAGTCAGAATAAAGATATAGTACGATTCTGAATGAGATTTAAATATATAGGGTACGTTATTAATTATATATACATTAGAGGAAGCAATTAAGTGATGTATATTAATTTCAAATTCCAATGGTTTCCTTAGAAAGGGTTCTCTCAATCAAATACTTTGTGCTTCTTTTTTTTCTATTAGATCTGCTTCTTCTCTCTCTCTCTGCTTCTTCTGCAACCTAAAAAACAGCTTTTTTTGCTTTGAACAATGAACCATCCAACTTATTAAAAACAATTTAAAAATCTAGAAAGAGAAACAAGTAGGACAAAATACCTCATAGTTCTGTCCATTCCATTAATAAATTAATTTTAAAAAATTATAATTTTCTTATAAAAACATGTTACTCTGATTTTATATAGGTCAAATAAATTAATTATTCGATAAACATTTTTTTTTCCATCAAACTCTAACGTAAATTATTGATTTGATGTAGATAATTCTAAATGTCGAGTTTGATTTTTATGGATGAATAAAATTTATTCGGAGTTTGAACCTTTGACTTCTTTCGGTCCAATGACTAGAATTCCGCGCATAAGATTAAATTTGAAGTGAAAAGAAATTTTTGAAAATGATGAGTTAATTATGGCTATATGAATGTACCAAACATCATCATTTCTCAATGATCTCTTTCCTGGGATATGGGCTTTTCTTTACCTTTACCATGGCAGCTTTAACCATGGTTAGTCACAGGCTTCCATGCATATGCATATAATATAAATAACCATAATCATAAATGCTTCTGTATTAGATCTTGTACTCTACTGAATATTATTATCAATTTAATAATATACTTACAAGTAACAGCTTCAAGGATTCACATTAATTTCTGTAAACTTTTTTCATTTATTTTAATTTTTTTTCTTTATATTTTCTTATAATGTTTGAATTTATTTTAAATCCAGATGTATCGGACGGTGAAGACTACAGATAGAGTAGGGGCTTCATCAGGTTAGAGAAGATTTTCATTCTTTCTTATAATGTTGAAGATTATAGAAGACCAGTAATTATAATATTAATTGTTAGTAATTAACTTGCTTTCTTCCTGTTCTTTTCTTTAATTCTTTCTTCTTTTTTCTTTTAATCGATGAATTAGGGCAATCGGATGTATACGATAATGGATCGTCTGGAGATAATTCTGATGATATAATGTTTGACATCAATTCTTCAAGAAGATCATCTGATTTATCCATTAAGCAGCAAGGAAGATCAAATGTTAATCAAGATAAGGAATGTTATGGTCTTTGGAGCAACTCATCCCGGTATTTATTCTAGTTTATTTTCTCTTAAAATAGATATATCATAAGCGTTTTTTTTCATGTTTATTACACTGTTAAGTCTTCAATTGCAGTATGATGTATCTAGTAGAAAGCGTCAACTTTAGAAAAAAAACGTATAAACTAATTTTCTCTTTTTTTAAATTTGACGTTTTCTACCATTGTAATATCATACTGCAATGATAGAGGATTCATATATGTCACCGATTACATATTTAAATAATGAAGCATTTTTGTTTGAATGGATGTATATTGACAACATATATTAGTAAACCTAACAAGTGGAACTTTATTTATTTATTTTGATTGAGTTGTTGTGTACATATATAATGACTTTTATGTTTCATTTTTTAAACTATTTGTATTTGTACTATGTTTTGTAAGTCATATGATGGAAAATACTAAAATAAAATAAAAGAATTCATGCATGTCTTATTCATAGACACATTTCTTTGTTCTTTTCTTTCCTCTCTCTCTTGTTCACTCACACAACCTCACATGCAAACATGGTTAGGCTCAAGAAATCACAAAAGGAATAAATCACTTCATGTGTTTGCTTTGTTCTGTCTGTCCACAAATTAACCATGAGCATCCTAAATCCATGATGGTATAATAATAATAATAATAATAAAAACAATAACATATACTCTCTTTTCTAGTGGTTGAAAAGAAAGTAAAAAAGTAACACAAACACACACTCCTAATCTTCAAAGTATTTTTTGATATTTTCCATAACATTCCTCCTTAAAAAATAGAGATATCTCTTTCCTTAAGATTTTGTGGGGTTCAAACATTAGCTTATTATATGGGGCCCAACAATTGAGAAACTTAGTGTCAAAGCTAAGCCATTGTTGACCCATAATTAGAAAATTTTGAAACCAAACTAAATATTCCCCTTTGAAATTTCCTTCAATGCTCATATTTTTCTATACATTCATATACATAGTCATAGTAAAAATGGAATATATTTTTATATCAATTGGAATGGCATAATCAACTTTATTTCAATCTTTAGAATAAGTAAAAGGGTATGTAAATAAGATAGTAGTAAAAAGATGAATTTCTTTCCCTAAGTTTTTCTTTTCTCTTACATAGCTTCTTTGTAATGAAAAATATTCTCTCCTTGTGTTTGGTTGTAATAGGGAAGGTTGGTTACATGGTAAACCAAAGGTTGATTCTATTGGAAACATGCAATCTCTTGAGGTAATATATTCCACCTTTATCTCCAAAGGTTAATAATCCTTTTGTTTTTCAAAAAGTTATTAAATTTACACACAAATTTCAAAGCATATATATATGTTTGGAATGCATGAAAGTGATATTTTAGAAGAAAAGGAAATACGTTTGATCTTTTTCATATTGCCATGCACATTATATTATAGTGATGAATGAGAAAAAATAAAAAAGAAAAGAGCTTTGCATAAAGCTGCTTTGTCCTTCACAAATTCAAATGGTTAGACTAGTCCTTTTCACATTTACCATTTTCAAAAGGTTAATAACGATTTGTGATGTAAAAAAGGTTCATCTAGTTGAGATTTATTAATGACCATAATGAAAATGACTAGTATATAATAAAACCCTATTAAACCTGCTTCATTTGACTCAATAATCAATGGTCTATACTCTATAGTTCAGTCAAATAAATAAATAAATAAATACACACACGCCTGCATGAACATAATATATATATATGTTATACACAAAAATAATTGGAAGCCATGGCACATGAACATGCAAGTTCTATAGTATTTGACAGGCTTTTAGGTGTGCCCCATCTCAAGTTTCTTTTTCCTCATTGATATAAATATTCTGTAATTATTTCTGAGTCAAATGTCCTTTGATTCCTATAACATGTTCACAATACTATATACTCTTGGTAATTTTATTTTTCTCTTTCTCCCTTTAATCATATTCTCATCATAACACTATTTTTCTTAAAAGTCATTGCCTTTACTATGAGTTGTAGGATTTCAATTCTTTATCACCACTGTAAAGGACTATAGAGTATTTATTGTATGGAGTTTGTTTTTATAATTTTATCAAATAAATTAAAAAATATATTTTAAATTGTTGTAAGATTATTAATGATGCTTAGTTAATAATATATTTTATTTATTTATTTATTCTTATTTATAAATTTTTTGCTTAAAAATTCATTTATTTTTATTCTTGGTGCTTAATTATTTTGTTTATTTTTTTCAGAAGGAAATGGACCCAAAGTGTTTAAGCTATGAGAGAATATCAGATGGAAGTTCATCTACAAACCTATCAGGATCAAGCCCAAAGAAACCTAATTTGGATTTGGAATTCACCTTAGGCCAGCCTCTTTGAGATTTTTCTTAGCTTCTGGAAATATATTACAGTATTGATGATTTACTATTACATTTCTCTGAAACTGAAAGAGTTAGAGCAATGGAATGAGAATCAGGAACCTGCTGAGAAAATCAGAGAAAGAGAAAGCTAAAAGAAAGAGAAAAAAAAAAAAAGTAAAAGGAGGTAAAGAAAGAAACACAAGGAGACAAGAAAGACAGAAAGCGACAAAAGGAGAGGGGTAGGGAAAAAAAGCAAGGCCTTCCTATCAGAGTTCTTTGTGTTAGATCTAAATCAACATATTATATTTTCTTTGGTAAATATTTGAAATCTAATTGATTTTGTAATGTTTTGCAATGAGAGAGAGAGTGAGATATGAGGGAAAGGGTGAGCTTTAGGTATTTTAAAGTATGAAGTGATCCTTGGTAATTGTAATGGAGCACTTTATGTTAATGAAATATATATATATTTAGATGTTTTCCACCAAAGAAGTTGGGTTCCTAATCCTATATTTAATCCTAAGAATATTGGTATACTTTACACTTTAGGAACAAAAGAGAGAAATGAGAATAAAGATGGACTTTAGCAAAAGATTGAAAATTTTGAGTATAGAAAAGAATAGGAGCTTAATTAGTCAAGGTAAAAAGTAAAGGGCAATATGATATTGTGATATTTTAGAAAAAGAAAGTTAAAAAAAAAATGTCTTCCGTTTTAATTTCTCATCATGCATAATACGTTTTTCTCTTTTTCTTTTAGGTTTTTTTACACTTTTTTTTTCTTTCTTTTAAGTTAGTAATAAAAGAATTGTATTAAAGCGAGTGTAAGGGGGTATTCAACCCGAATACAAAGAAGAAAAAACAATAGTAAATCAAAAGCTCAACAGGATTGGACATTCAAACTATTTTATACTCATTAAGATGTCTTAATGATCTAGCACAAAACCAATTTCACACTAAGGATTTCGCGAAACCTACGATCTCAAGACACCATTTAATCCTTCCCTTAAACAAAATATCATTCCGAATTAACCAAATAGCCCTCACTGTGACTAAACAAATAAGGATCCGATTTTTTTTTCCTTAACCTTCTCCTGCATTGTAGATTCAAAAAACACCAGATGATCAGAGATGTCATGAGATAGACTTGAATAAGAAAACTCTATTCAAGCCAAAGTATTGGTCCAAACCTCCACAACAACACAAGTAAAAAAGAGATGAATGTGAGTCTCATTCAAACCCAAACATAACGGAAAAACAAGATTATGAATACTTGAAATGACGCCTCTCTTAACTAGCCCGTCTTTCATTTGAAGTCGCTTTAGAATCAACCTCCAAGCAAACAATGAAACATTTGAAGGGTGTAAATAAATGATGCCACCAAAAATTCAACTGTAAATCATCAATTTACACCATTATTATTAATTAAAAGGACATGGAATTTTCGTTGATTTTAAGTTTAATAAGAATCTAGCGTGTATAAATATGTCTTAAAATCTTAATTGATTAAAATGAAGAAAATAATTTCCAAGATTTCCAGAAACAAGAGTGTTAAAAAAGCAGTTGGAAAGTCGACATACGATGCCATAGAAATGCGGCAATGACACATGACAGTTGTGGTCCCGTAGTGGCATATATGGCAATGACCAGTTGCATCAAGTGCGATAGGTCACTGACATTCGGAGGTCCATTATCATTAGGCCCGATTCAAGTGTATCGTGTTTGGTCGTTTTGGTTAACAAATTTAATTGTTAGTAAGTCGTATTTTGAGTCTGTTATGGATCTCTTGGATTTCAACTGATATATATATATATATATATATATATATATATATATATATATATATATATATATATATATATATATATATATATATATATATATATATATATATATATATATATATATATATATATATCACTTTTGTTAGATCAACCTTCTGAATGTTGTTTGAAAGATACAAGAAAGAGGTAACAATCCTAATATGAAAACTTTGAGAGTCAGGGGTAGAAGTTTCTTGAAGTTCTTGAAATTTGAGAAATCTTTGGAGGTATCAAAGAGGATTGAGAAATAATTTTAAGCATCTTGGACTTGTTTGATTCATATATAGAGAGTTGAAGAGATTAGGAAGCATTTTGGTAGAAAATACAGTTTGTTCTTGGCAAGATGTGATACTTTTTTCTTGTAAGTCTTTTTCAATTTCTTGTAACGATTCTCGAAAATATAGTGAATATGAGAGGGTTGCTCTCTCTTCCAAAGTAAATCAGTTTGATCAAACTTGGTAAGCAAATTCTTAGTGTACTTATCTTTTATCTTCTTACTTGATATATATATATATATATATATATATATATATATATATATATATATATATATATATATATATATATATATATATATATATATATATATATATATATATATATATATATATATATATATATATATATATATATATATTTTACACTGATTATAGGTTATTTTGGTGTTTGAGGTCATTTATTTTAGTTGCCATTGTTCTTTATTTCATGCATTTTACTATCAACATATTAATATTATTGTAAAATTTTAAAGATAACTTGGTGGAGTTGAACCTTTAAATTTCACAATAATGACACCCATTATGGGATAAAAGGGTTAAGTTTACAAGTTTGCACCATGATTAATGAAAGTGATATCGAGAAGTTTTTTGGAGACAACGATTTTGGATTGTGAAAAATGAAGGTACGAGCAAGCTTAAAACAATAAAAGTTTATTGAATAACTAAAGGGAGAGGCGTCATATCTTGCACGCCTAACACAAGCAAAGAAGACCGAGATGGTGGATGGGGTTTAGAGTTCCATGATCTTATGTTCCAAATATAAATTTCTAAAGTAAGTCGCCAGGGAGAAGACTTTGACTTTGGTGAGGGAAAAACTTGAATAATTGTATATGCCTAAGTATTTGTCTCACAAATTGTGTCTGAAATAACAACTCTACTCTTTGAAAATGGTAGAGAGAGGATCCAAAATAAAATAATAGTCAAAATTTCACAAGAACATTGATCATCTGGAGATTATTGAAATGAAGACTGATGACAAGGAAAAGTTTATTCTATTGTTAAGATTATTAAGTAGGTCTTTTGAGAACTTTAAGGATTCTCTTCCGTATCATGAGAAAAGTACTATTACTTTGAATGAAGTCTAGAAGACTTTGACATCCAAGGAATTTTCAAAGGTAAAAAATTTGATGATTAATAATAATGGTGAATGATTGAGAGTCCCAAGAGGAAGAAGTGGAAGTAAAGGGATGTACATATCCAAAAGTTTTTACAAAACAATGTTAAAATGATTTATTTATCAAAAAAGTTAGTCACTTCAAGAAGGATTGTCCCAAGAGAGAAGACAATGAAAATTCTGTTCAAATTATTATTGACTTAGATATGGATAGTTATGAGAGTGTTGGTCCATTAGTGGTGTTAAGTTTGGAGATTAAAAGAGGTAGGTCTTGGACTCATGATGCTCTTATTACATGTACTCAAGAATAGAATAATTTGAGACTTTGAAGCTAGAGGAAGGTGATTAGTTTTCCTTGGTGGAAATAAGGCTTGCTAGGTTCATGGTGTTGATATCGTTAGACTTAAAATGTTCGAGGATTGTGAATTCTTCCAACACAATGTGAGGTATATTTTAGAGCTCATGCAAAGTTACTCATCCATAAGCATGCTTGATGATATAAGGTATAAAATATATGGATTAAATATTTTAAAAGGTCCAATTTTATTGTTCATTCATCACCAATTAGTGAAGACTTCTAGGACAAGAACGCACTATGGGATTTGAGTTCATGAAATGTTAGATGTATGGAGATTTTTTCTTGGAAATTTAAAGAATTTAGCATGAGACAATGGATAAAGTGCATTTAACCACTGAGTTCTCATGGAGTTTCTGGGGTAAGGCTGGTGTCAATGCAGCTTACCTATGTATATTTGTGTGCTTGCAAGTACAACATCATGCATTCGTCACATGTTCATAATGGTTTTGATTATGACAACACTATGATGTGAATTCTTCATCCGAATTAAATCGTTGGTACATTTCTCTCTTCTCTCATATTTTTACATTTCAGTTCTCTATTTATTTCCGCTACATTTACTTATCTTAAACTTCGTGATTTTAATTCTTTTTAATATTTTACAGCTTATTCTTTGTTTCATTTATAATTTTTTTAAATGTTTTCATAAATAAATATTTTTATAATTGGACATCATTTTTCAACCTCCACAATTCAACCCTCCTCCCCCTTCTAATGTTTGAAATCACCTATTCAATACGTGGTGTCAGATCCGTAACTCATGTTATAATACTAATCATCTAAGGAGAAAGAAGGATGACTACAAACACATCTTATGTTTTTAACAAAGGTATTTTCATAATACACCTCCACTCTTTGATGGTGAAAGATTTGACTTATGGAATGAAAGTTTTTGTGAAAGAAAGTGATTTTGAAATGTAGGATTTTGTTATCAACGACCCATTTATTCCTACTTATTATCTAAATAATAAAGTAGTGAGAAAACCATGTACTATTTGGAATGAAAAAATAAGAGAAAATTCAAACTCGGTTTTGAAGTTAAGTACTTGATGACGAGTGCTCTAAGCACTAAAGAGTACTTATCTGTTTCTAATTATAATTCAGTTAAGGAAGTATGCGACACTCTTGAGATGATCTATGGAGTTTGTTCCAAGATCCAACAAGAGAGATCAAACATACATATCCATAAAGATGAAACACTAAATGAATATAAATCATTACTTATTGGAAAAAACATATAATGCTCAAACATTGGAATCCTTTGGGGTTGTGTTAAAATTTGTATATCTAGCATATATTGAAAATTCAATAATTGGGGCAAAAAATACGATCAAATCCTTGACTTGAATGATATAAGTATTTTTAAGTTTCAGGAAAAATCCAATAGAAGGAGATCATTGAGAAACTCTAAGAATTAATCCAATTTTTAAAAGATGAAGGAATGGATTCAAA